AGTCTAGGAAGTGAGGGGTCTGGCCATTAGGAGGTTGCTACAGGAATCGAGGCAAGAGATAAGAGTGACTTGAATAAAGATGGTAGTGGAAGAGGTAGGGAAAACCAGCTAGATTCGACTTACTTTTTAAAGGTGTAGATGACCATATCTACTGAAGGGCTGGAGGAAGGGTTTGGGAGAAAGAGTTGCGCCACAGACAATGTGAAGGGGTTTGTCTTAAGAAAGCAGAAGGATGGAATTGCCACTTATTAAGATAAGAAGACTAGAACAATCAGATGTGGGGCAACCAACAGCTCCATTTTAACACGTCAATATCTGATATCTGTGTGAACCTTAACATAAACCTTAACATACTTCCATATGAATTTTTTGAATCTTACCATACAGAAATACTGTAATGCCAAGGGTGGAAGACCAACTTAAAATATCATTTAGTTGTTTACATTTAAGGTTGGAGAATGGACTACAATAACTGACTTTAGTTTTTCACAGCCTAGGAGTGGGAAGAAAAAGTTTAGAGTAGTACACTTCCTCTGTGCTGTCGACTAAGTAGCATGCCCCAAGAAGACTTGAGGAACAACAAGAAGTCCCTATTTTTTTTCAGGCAGTGCCACCATGCCAAGGGAAGTCCAGAAGCCTCAAGTCATAGAAAATGCACAAAATTGGGGTCACCTGAATCCTTGTAATTTAATCCCAATTTCATTACAAAATAAAGTCACTATGGTTTTTCACTTTATTTGCTGGGACTTCAATAAACACTGATAATTATTTGTATAATTGCTCACTCACTAATTTCCATTTTTAATTCTTTTTATAAGTCTTCCTTTGAAAATACTAAAAGCATCCTTGGATCTAGGATAATTCTTCCTTCATTTCACAGATAGGAAAATGAAGAACAGAAAGGGTAAAACAACATTAGCAGGGTTGTTTTTTGTTTTTTGTTTTTTTTGCATTGTACATTTCCAAATGTAATAGAAACGCTATCTCTTTGTTGCTTTATTATAATACTGTCCAAATACTGCCTGGTAAGGAATTTTAGGTTAAAACCAAAAGCATTCTAACATATATCTAATGTATATATGACTGCTAATATTGATAGAAGAAAGAAACTAAACTATGTAAAGTTACGTAAATTGAACTTTTGAATCCTGATAAGCCCTGGAAGAGTATAGAACTTTTCTACATAAAAATTGAGACTGACCACTAAAACTATCAGATAATAAGCTTCGGAATTATATGAAATACAAAATACATATATTCATTTGGCTAGAAAATACTTACTACCTGAAATACATGTTTTTTTTTTAAGCTATTGTATACTCAAATTCAATGGAAATCGATGGACCACAAAAATAGGTTATTAGTGATTTATCTATTGAATACTTGTGTAATATAAATTTGACAACTGGTGATGGTTAAAGATAAGGTAGGGAAGGGCAGAAAAAAATAGGCATAATTACATATAATCCAAGGTAAACTTGAAAATCATAATCCAAAAAGCTATTTGAAATACTGATTTTATAACTTAAAATTCATTATCTGTGTCTTAAATATTTTGGGGGAAGAGTGAGGGAACAGAAAGATGGGAAATGGCAAAGCTGACACTGGGGGTAAACTGCCCATCTGAGATCTATTATAATGAAGGCCCTTTAGTCTCTGTCTCCTAAGAATAGGAAAATCTACAAAAAAAAAGTATATAGCCAGAACATGTTGACAAAGGACACACAGAAGCAACTGTGGGTTCTGGTGGAGAATCAGTGTTTAAAACTGCCCTGGAAATTGATTTAATGATACATTGGTTAGAACATTGAAAAGAAAGCAAAACCACACCAGGCTGAGCGTCCCAAACCCAAAGATCTGAAATGGTCCAAAATGCAAAACCTTTTCAGTGCCGACATGATGCTCAAAGGAAATGCTGACTGAAGCATTGTGAACTGTAGATTTGAGATGCTCAACCGGTATAAATACTCCAAAACCTGAAAGAAAAAAAAATCACAAATCCAGAACTTAAGCCATACTGAGTTGTCCTTTTTCCTCCAACATAGGTAATTTGTATAGCACTTATACTCAAAACATTCTTATGAACATTATTTCATTGAACAGAATAACCTATACCAATTCCCAGTCTTGGGAAAATCCGAATATAACTGACACAATAGCTGATGGTCACACTAGTGAGTGAAATTTTTATAACTAGCAATGGAGATGGGGTAACTCTAAATTTGTATCCAGTCTCACTAAAAGTGAGGTTTAACACAAATGTTGAAAACTGCTAGTGTGAAATGACATAGCTCTTTGCATCTTTCAAAGCTTTTTTGTGATCTGATCCACAGAAAAGCTCTAGGCAGGAAGCTATTTATTAAAGGTGAGGATTCCTACCAAAATAATATTTGCAATTATATGATTTGTTTTAAAATTAATCATGTGATTTGTTACACCTACATATGGGGATAGACAACTAACTACACTTTGGAAAAGTCTTAAGGCAAGAAATACATTTAGCATGTAAAAGAGATATAATAGAACTCTGTTGCATAGAAACTTTATACTGTGATTAGTTTTTAAAACAAGCAAATCAAGAGCTCTCTAAATTGCTGGCCCAAAATTTATTTTGTTACAGATTTTTCTAAGCCTGTAAACAGGAAATGAACTGGTAAAATTTTTAGAAGTGTACACATATATTATGTATATACATGCACATACACATACACAGGTTGAATATTGCTCATCTGAAGTGCCTGGAAATGTCTTTTGGATTTTTAAAATTTTTGAATATTTATATTTACTGGTTGAGCATCCCAGATAAAAAAATCCAAAATCCCAAATGCCCCAATAAACATTTCCTTTGAGGGTCATGTCAGCACTTAAAGTTTTGGATTTTGGAGCATTTCCAACTATGGATACTGAATCTCTTTGTGTACATGTGTGCGTGCATGTGTGCATCAAAGTAATTTGGAGGCACAGAGCTCCCTTCTGTTCCTTAATTTTCAGAAAATGATACCAGTGAATCTGAGGAAGTAACCAGACATGTAAAGACACGGACTGTAAGAGTAATAATTAGAGTTGTACAAGAACAACAGGAAATGCTGGCTCTTCCAGTCAAGATGACTTAGAAACTTTATTTGTATAGTGAAATAAGGGAAATCTAGAGTCAGTCTCTTTTTGACAGATAAGCTGATTAAAGAAAGTTGGACAGGCCAGGCACGGTGGCTCACACCTGTAATCCCAGCACTTTCGGAGGCCAAGGCAGGTGGATCATGAGGTCAGGAGTTCGAGACCAGCCTGGACAACATGGCGAAACCCCATCTCTACTAAAAATACAAAAAATAAGCCAGGCATGGTGGCAGGCGCCTGTAGTCCCAGCTACTCGGGAGGCTGAGGCAGGAGAAATGCTTGAACCTGGGAGGCGGAGGTTACAGTGAGCCGAGATTACGCCACTGCACTCCAGCCTAGGCAACGGAGCAAGACTCTGTCTTTAAAAAAAAAAAAAAAAAAAAAAAAAAAAAAAAGGTTGGACAAGAAACGAGTCTATTTTTGAGTAAATGTAAGAATGTTCTCTCTAGAGTATACCTGTTATTCATGCTTTTTATTTGCTGTATTTTATGATGCTTTGACATCTTTAGATGCTTGCTGGTCAAAGAGGAACCACCCCATTCAGGGTCTCTCTCTTAGCCACAGCAAAGCTTCCTTGAGATAGCAAAGGTCTTTCTTAGAGATAGCAAAGGGCTCAGCCACGAGCAGGTCTTTCATATACATACCTATCAATCCCAAGTCTATAGCCCCAACCACACTCCTTATCTAATTCTTGCACACCAAGCCACTATTTCTCCATCCTAAATCATCCTAGGACAAGGTCCCAGAAAATTAGACACCATCCCGATGGCCCACCAGTATTATTCAAACAAGCCAATCTTAAACCATTTACTCTACCCTGCCTGGCCTTTCCTAAGGAAACCTCAATAAAGGATCTAGCTAGTCTTGCCCCTTGCTCCTTATGCTATCTGACCAAAATTTGGTGCTTTCCCCATGACCCTATATAGCATGTGGTAACCCAAGTTCTTTTTTTCTTTGAGACAGAGTCTCACTGTATCACTAAGGATGGAGTGCAGTGGCGTGATCTTGGCTCACTGCAGCCTCCACCTCCCAGGTTCAAGCGATTCTCCTGCCTCAGCTTCCTGAGTAGCTCGGATTACAGGCGTGTGCCACTTACGCCCGGCTAATTTTTGTATTTTTTCGTAGAGACAAGTGTTTTGCTATGTTGGCCAGGCTGGTCTTGAACTCCTGACCTTGGGTGATCTGCCCGCCTCGGCATCCCCAAGTACTGGGATTACAGGCGTGAGCCACTGCACTGGCAGTAACCCACTCTCAGGCCTTTAAGTATAATAAACTTACTTCTTTCAAGTTTATTCTTCCTGTGGCCATTGACTTCTACCATACCATTATTCAACATATACATTATTATTATTATTATTATTTTTTGGGATGGAGTGTCGCTCTGTTGCCCAGGCTGGAGTGCAGCAGCGCGATCTCAGCTCACTGCAAGTTCCGCCTCCCGGGTTCACGCCATTCTCCTGCCTCAGCCTCCCGAGTAGCTGGGAGTATAGGTGCCCGCCACCACACCCGGCTACTTTTTTGTATTTTTAGTAGAGACAGGATTTCACCGTGTTAGCCAGGATAGTCTCAATCTCCTGACCTTGTGAGCCGCCCGCCTCGGCCTCCCAAAGTGCTGGGATTACAGGCGTGAGCAACTGTGCCCGGCCAACATGTACATTCTTCAAACAGTATATAAAACAAATATAACTAAGAAATAATAAAGTGTCTGTTCACTATAAAAACAAAAAAATCTCAAGTTCAATCAGCTTTCTGGCTGACACATCATTTTTCATGTTCTGTTTTTTTTGTTGTTGTTTGTTTTACATTTAAAACTGTCAAGCACCATTGTGGAATAAATTCTGAAACATAAGTGAGTATGTGAATTTAAATGAAAATACAATTCAGAGTTGTATACAGGATATATATTTATTACCAGTGAAAAAGCATTTACCCAAAGTCAGTGGTACAAAATACAAAGAGTACCTCAACAGTCCGGCCAGCTCATTATTTTAGGCATTATCTCAACCTGCATAAAATTCTCTCTCACTCAGTTTGACCTTTTCTCCCTCTATCTGTAACCAAAATTTTTAACTTCAAAATTAGGACAAATAGGAATATTAAATGCCTAACCCTTCAGCAATAGTTTACTAAACAGATTAAATAAATATATCTGCTCTCAAACCCTAGGTATTTTAAAACTAAATTATCTACTAAAATAGAAAAACAATAGACTTAGATTAATAGCAGCTGTAACACAAGTCAAATAAGCAATTTTGATAAGGTTTGTAAGTACTATGGTAATAACTAAGATATAAATACAATTTTTTCACTTTAATATGCATGCAGAGAGAGAGACACACACAATATGTAAGGCTTGGCTTGAGTACCAAAACAAAGTATTTACCCTTTCCTGCTTAAAGTCTAGAAAATAAAGAATTTGAGTATGCATGTAACATAACTTATTGTTCCAATTTCCCTGAAGTTAGAGCACCTGGATAAGAACTTCTAATTCTGAACTGGTAATTTTCTGAATAGGTTTTATTAAAATTGAAGATACACTGTCTTCCATAATTTAAGTAGCAATACAGTAAATGTCCTCATAGAGAAATCCTCATTTAATACTCCTTGAACGGACATTACACTGAGGTATACAGCAACTTTTTTTTTTTTTTTTTAAGATGGAGTCTCGCTCTGTCACCAGGCTGGAGTACAGTGGCATGATCTCGGCTCACTGCAACCTGCAACCTTCATCTCCCAGGTTCAACCTATTCTTCTGCCTCAGGCTCCCAAGTAGCTGGGACTACAGGTGTGCGCCACCTCTCCCAGCTAATTTTTGTATTTTCAGTAGAGATGGGGTTTCACCATGTTGGCCAAGATGGTCTCGATCTCTTGCCCTCATGATCTGCCCGCCTCAGCCTCCCAAAGTGCTGGGATTACAGGAGTGAGCCATGGTGCCTGGGCAGCAAGTAACAATTTTAAAGGAATACTCAACAAGTTCTTTTTTTATGGGGTATTTCAGTTGTTAACAAAGTTAAAATACTTATTGGAACTAATTCTTTGTATTCGAGGAAGAATCTATAAGGTTGACTAATTCATTGTTATCTGGGTTTTTGAAGCTTTACTGGGTATATGGAGAATCTGGGATAAAAAGTAAATCACCTTTCAAAGCTGATTTACTTCAAGTCACATAAACTTTCAATACTTCACCTGCAAATGTGCTTCAACCTCACTACACACAAAAGAAACTGCTATGCTTTGGCTTTAAATTACCATCTCAATAGCCAAGTTTATCAGAAGACATATAGAATCTTACTATTTTATTATAGAAATTTAGTTCTACTTATTCCCACTTGAAAAATGAAAATTAATCAATGGATTAATAAATATTCTGTAACTTCACAGGTATCCTGGATACCTTGATAATCTGCCCTATTCTTATACAGGAATAGGACCTGCAGGTATCTAAAAGAACATTAGACCCAACAGCAGCAACACTGGCATTATTTGGAAGACTGGCCTAATAGATGGGCTTTATAACAAATAATATATTTCTCTAACTCTTAACCACTGCTCTTTTCTGAGCAGCCTAAAATTATATAAAACATTGACTTGCTGTAAGAATTCAACATAATTTCCAAAAAAGATACTTTATAGATGAGTCCAAACTTTATTTAAAACTACATTTTAAATTCGTTACCAAACATCACAATGGGGAAAAAAATCAAGACCAAAGAAGGAAAAAAAACAAAAAAAAACAAAAAAAAAAACACCACAGTGTGTCAAGGCTTAAATCTGTCCAGAATTCAGTTTCTGATGTTTTATACTGTGGGGAGAAATGACCATACCTATCAAAAAAGCAGTGTCAAACTAATTTACATTTTTATACAGATCAGATGTTTATTTAGTATTGTTTTCATATATGCATTGACTATGTAAGGACAGAGTTAGATGAGCCTCTGAAGACATCTCATATACTCTGGGCTCCCACCGTTTCTGAAAAACAGAATAATAATGCTTTATAAATTACTTATCAAATTACTAGAATTTAACATTGTGCTCTGCCATTAAAGTTTTTACTTTTAATATAAGGTTATTATAAAAGAAATCCTAATTTAGCTTGCTAATACAATTCCCTAATAGCACACGGTAAAAAAAGAATAGGTGAGGTTTCTGATTCAATATGGCAGAGTGAGTACATCCTGTCTCTCTAAAAACACTGCACTAGGAATAGAAAAGAACTATAGAATAGAATAAATCTAGACCAACAAAGAAGACTGGTTGGGAGAAAACAGAACAGGGGATATCAACAAATTACCAGAATGCTCAATGCAGACGGAAGCATACCCAAAGAGAGTGGAGGAAGCTGCAGCTCAAACACTTGCAATAGGCTGTAGCTGAGAAGGGTACCATATTCTAACAGGTAGAAGTGGACTGAAAACTCAGAAATTAACTGAAGGTCTGATACCTGAAGGGTCTTTCCTTCTCACTCCATTTCCAGGAAAAACAAAAACAACGAGATATCATGTGATTTTCATCAACTGATGAACTGATGGAGAACAACAAAAAGAAAAAACCCTTTGACCCTGATGCAAGAAACACTGAACGGCTCAAGAGCTGTGTTATTAGACTCATACAGAAAGAAATCTGAGGCTACTGAGACTATTGCTTGGCTCTACAATGAATGATATTTATATAGAAGCATCCTCAGAGAAAGTGCAGAACCATTTAATTCTATTACAAAAACAAAATATTAGTATATTTAATAGCCTTAGTAATGTAAGAATATGGGTAAAACTGAACAGAGAACCTGGAAGAAAGTAGAGGAGCAGCAGCAAGGGATAATGACCAAAGTTGATGGAACAAAACGCACATATACTTAACCAAACTAAAAAGTAAAAAATAGAACAACCAAAAATAATATGGCAAGATTTAAATAGATAACTCTTACCGGGTTCTTTTAGTGTCTGAGAATTTCCAGCTAATTCTTCAGTCTGCAGTTCACATATTTCACCAGATAAATGGTTTTTCTGTTCTTCTTCTACCATTTTCTTCCTTATATCTGCCTTTGGAATGAAAATTAAAAATACAAATCATTTTTCATTTTAACAATATTTGTTATATAAAGACAAGTTTAATTAAAGACAGACAAATACCTCTGAATATATTGTCAGTTTCAGTGGTAAATCTTCAACTTTTACAAAATCTTCTTCATCAGACTTTTGACTTATATTACCAGATTCTGCTTCCTGTAATTTAATGGAAAAAAAAAATACGTACTCTAGATCCAAACCAAAGTCACCCATGTGAAGAAATAGTGAATTATTTTATCAGTAATTCTATCATATTTCGTTTTCTTCTACAATCAGCTCTATGAATAATTTGGAAATAAGGAGTTCATAGGAAAAGCTACATATCACAGCTGTGAAACATACTGTCAAGCTGTTACCATTTTGTCAAAAAAAAAAAAAACACAAAAATGGTGGCGGGGAGGGGAGGGCAGTTTATACATGCCGAAGAAACAGCAGTTACAACCAGGACTCAAAACACTAGAAAGACAACTCTTGTTTCTTCATACGTTTACTGAACACATAAGAGCCATATCGGGCAGAATGTAAGTAACCACTTACAAACTTTTCAATGTATCAACTCTGATGGCGCTCAGTTAGAAAGCTGATGTATGAATTCAGTAAGTGTCTTTTGTGATCACCTCAAACTGTTTTTCCTAAACTTGAACTTTTTTTTTTCTCCTAGTTCTCCCTTCTCATTTTTAATAGTATCATAATTCTACCAATTATCCAAGAAGAAATCGTAGGTTTTTCTTCTTCTTGTGGTATTTTTCACTCATCATGCTCCTGTTCAGCTCATATTTCATACTTATACAATAGTAGATCCCCTAATCTAGCTTGACAATATATCCTATAGTCATCAGATTAATCTTCACAGTCCATAAATTTGACCATTTCACTTCTTTGCACAAAAACATTCAGTAGGATCCCTGACTAAAATTCAAAGTCAAGAGCTTTTATAACCTACCTCTGACTTAATTTCAATTAAATATCTTCTATGGCAACTCTACACAATGATCACATGAAAAGAATAAATCTAACCTGTAATTGAAATTTCAGAGTTTTAAATGTATAATTGTACTGGTAGTGAGGCAAACAAAAGAGTTAAAAGAGTTATTCTTTGTACTAATGTTTTCTAAAGATTATAAGGCCCCTAAAAATTATGAAGTCATAACTGTAAATGTATCTTTAAGAATTTTTTTTTTTTTTTTTAAGACACAGGGCCTCACTCTTACCCAGACTGGAATGCAGTGGGGGCAATCACAGTTCACCACAGCCTAGAACTCCTGGGCTCAAGTGATCCTCCCGCCTCAGCCTCCTGAGTAGCTAGGACCACAAGCAAGCACTATCATGCTTGGCTAATTTTTAATTTTTTGTAGAGACAGAGTCTTAGTATGTTGCCCAGGCTGCTCTCAAACTCCTTTTAGTTCTATCCAACAAAAGCATTGATTGGAAATCACCCAAGTTAAGTTTCACTTATGTTTGCAGTTTTAAAACAAGTCACACTGTTTTAAAGGCCTTTGTTTTATGGGGGTTTTGGTCAGGGATTTTTCAGGCCTGATCTCCATTTTAATTTTGCTTTAACAATTCCCCCCTTTTGGCTTGAGGGTGGCCAAATGGAGTAGCATTATCCTGTTACCACTACTGACGCAGATGCTGGGATGAAAAGTCAGGTAAAGTTGTTATCAAAAGGTATGTTGAGATTCAGTCATGCAGCCTCCATCAAGATTTACATAGTCAGTGTTAGTTTCCCTGATGGCAGTCATGTGACGTGTCAGTGGTTGCTGGAAAGCATTTAAACCCCTTGTGGGGATATAAGGCACAAGGGAAGAAAACACAGTAACTGTAGCAAGAACTGAAAAATCTCTCTAAGCAAAGATTCCCAGGGGCCAAAATTTAACCAACCGAATAAATCAATGGAGGAGGCCTTGCTTATCTGATTAAAAAAATGATTTATTAAGATCTTTTAAATTTGGGGCAACAATATCTGATTAACATAAAAACAATACTTTTCACCAAAGCTCATCCCTGTGAGCAGCTAAACTTCTACTGGAGTTCCAGTGAGGCCAAATCACTCATCTCAGATTGTACTGCTTGAAGAGTATCGAAAGTATCATTAAAACTTTTTTTCAAGAGTTGCTGAAATATTCATAAGCGATTTTTCCAATTCAGAGGCTGCCAGCTAAAGAAAAAAGGATCTTAGGAAATAACAAAATCTAGAACTCCTTCATATATTTGAGTTTGGGAGATCACAGGGAGTTCTTTTTTAAGGGGTCACTTTATGTACACACAATCCCAGGTTAAGAATTTCACTACCATTTCATATCTGGTCAGTTTAGGTAGGAAATAGCCCAAACCACAGTGTCCAGATCATATAGGTGAAAACATTTATATATTTTGTTGCCATACAAGATGAATAACTCAGTATTACTGAGAGAAAGGGGCAAAGGAGATCCTATTACCCACCAACTGGGAATGATGTGATTGTCATGGTTATTCTTTGTCATATCTGCATCTGCACATTGCCAGGTAGAATGGTTATGATTCTATTAATGGAAGAGGAATAAAAAACACTTCTATGTATTACATATGGGTACCATCACCAAATAAGGATGACTTACTTCCTTTTCAAATACGCCCTCAATATTGATCTAAAAAACCCTATTGTACATAGTGAAACTATAGGGGTATTCCATTTGCCTCTAGAATTTGAACCAATGTCAGTTTCAGTCAGTTCTCTACTAATACAGTCAACGGTATTATGGTGAAGTTCTGATTTTAAATATGTGTCATTATACAGGAGAGCAGTCTCCATAATTTGTGTTAAACCAAAAAGTTTGACTGCAGATAGGGAGACTGGAACCCTGGCTAGATTAGGCCCAGTTCTATTAAGGTTTTCTGTCCATGGTGATAAAATTACCAGCAATAAAATCAATAGTAGTTACAGAACATACCTTTGCTTCTAATAACTTCTTCCTAGTGCCAAGTCAGTCAATCATAAATATCAACCAACCTGCCAGGGGAAGGATACCAAACCTCTTCATAAAACCAGTTTCCTGAACTGCTCACCCAAGTGTGTACGGCAATAGATTTCAGTATTATTTGTGATTCCATTCATCTACATGACTACATGGCCAGCAACTGCTTTGGTTGAGAGTGGCTATGCTTTCAACATCAGACCTTAGAGGATATTCGGTTTGAGTAGGAAAAGTTCCTAACAAAAGTTTGAACATTATGTGTTAATGCAAAACCAAAACAAATCTTAATGAGAAAAGTTATATGTAGTCTTGTTCCACTGTGGTGGGAAGTTGTTTACTTCGTGATGCCACCTGCTCCTAGGGAAGGCTTTCCCTTAGATATCTTTAAGTTACCTATAGGTTGCCAAGTCCAAGAGTCTAAGGAAGCTCTCTCTACTTGAGAGAGATGGACCCAAGGCTCAAAACCCTGAAGTTTTGCTGCATCGTGAGTAGTAAGAATCGTCTGGTACAGTCCTTTCCAATGAGGCTCAAGGGCTGTTGTTTCCAAAAGATCCAATCTCCACATTCTAAGTTATGGAAGCCAGTCATGGATCATCATTGGTACACAGTTCACAAAAAGCCTCCTTCAGCTGGTGGAAATAGACTTTTGCATAATCCATTAAGGTCTTGGAGTATTGAGTCATTTCAGAGCTAACAAATACAGGTTATACATGGGGTTCTACTACTAAAGGCATAGGTCTTCCAGTTATTTCATAAGGGGTCAAATTTGAGTTTTTCTGTAGGGGTTGATCTAATTGCCTTTAGGGCCAGTGGTAACATTTTTGACCAAGGTAATCCAGTTGACAATTTTGCTCATTTTAGTTTCAAGATATCATTTGTCCATTCAAGCTTTCCAGAAGAAAGAGGGTAAGGGCAATGGTAGTGTCACCGACTTTGAAAATCTTGTTTATTCGATAACCTGTTCGGGAAAATCAGTTCCCTTATCACTGGAGATCTCTCCAGAAATACCCCATAAAGGAAATACATTTCCTAAAAACCTTTTGCTACTGTTGTGGCATCAGCCTTTTAAGTCCCAAGCTATCCTGAAAACAGGTACACTAACACAAGAATATACTGATATCTCATTGTGGGTGGCTAATGAATGAAATCCATCTGCAGACCTACAAATGGTCTAGCAGGTGGTAGAAATCTTAAGGGTCTTTCCGGCTTTATGAGTTTGACAAGTCACACTGTTATAAGCCATTTCTGCTTTCATCATCTTTTTCATAATCTGAACCATTTTTCTTCACCATGATAGTTGGTAGAGTGCAGGGCCTTTAATAATAATGGCAGTTTGAAGGACTCAGGAAGGACCACCTGGCTGTCTGGGCCTTCAGTAAGTTCTTATTGAGCATTAAATTTGCTTCCTTTAAGATTCCATGGCCGGGTGCGGTGGCTCAAGCCTGTAATCCCAGCACTTTGGGAGGCCGAGACGGGCGGATCACGAGGTCAGGAGATCGAGACCATCCTGGCTAACATGGTGAAACACCGTCTCTACTAAAAAAAAATACAAAAAACTAGCCGGGCGAGGTGGCGGGCGCCTGTAGTCCCAGCTACTCGGGAGGCTGAGGCAGGAGAATGGCGTAAACCTGGGAGGCGGAGCTTGCAGTGAGCCGAGATCGCGCCACTGCACTCCAGCCTGGGTGACAGAGCCAGACTCCGTCTCAAAAAAAAAAAAAAAAAAAGATTCCATTTTTGTTGTTTCAACTCAGGTGCACAGCATTGTTTACTGAACAAATTATCCTGAGTGATCTGATCTTGGTCAGTTCTGTGGAGTTCATTCAAAATGCACATTTTGTCAATGTCAGACTTGGCCATAAAAGTCCACACATGCATTTCCTTGATACTCAGATTTAGTCCTATGAGCATGAGCATCATTTTTATTAGCTACTTGTGAGGGCAGCAGAATAGCTGAAAGCAGCTCATCTGGCAGAGGTCCAGTACTGATGGAGGTTCCACTACAAGGTAGAAACCCTCTTTGTTTCCACAACATTCCAAAATCATCACTCACTCCAAAGGCATACCAGTTATCTGTATAAATGAAGACTGATTTGCATTTTGCTATATGGTAAGGCTTAGATCACGTAATTCTTTGGGTTCTCCTGACTTAAGTTGAGGAAGAGTTCCCTTTTCTATTAGTTCATATTGAGTTGTTACAGCATGTCCTGCTCAGTATTTCTCCTCTACAGTTTTATCATAGGATCCAACAATAAAATGTATTTATTCAGAATCATCTAATGAAGTTTTCCATAAGTCAGTGTGAGGAGTCAATAGTTAGGACACCACACATACACACAGTTACGGTCTTCCTAATGTTCGGACAGAGGCAGCAAGTGGTAGGGTTAAGCAGATTCACGTCTGAGATAGAGATTAGAAGGTGACGGGAGAAGGATATCATAAAATGTTAGTCTACTTATTAAGACATGTTGGATCTGACTGGAATATAATAAGCTTTCAACTGCATGTGAAACCTGTAGGTAACATTTATTCCATAATACTAGGTCACGTAAAGTTTCTACCAATTTAGCTGCTGCTGTCACTGCTTTTAGATTGTTTAGATATGCTCTGACAATTCGATTTAACTGTAACCTATAATAAGTAATGGGTCAATAGCTTCCTCCACATTTCTGAGTAAAGACTCCTAAGGATGGATTATCACATTTGATAATCACAAAGTGAAAGGTTTTAAATAATTAGGGTGTCTTGAACTTGGAGGAGGTTATAAGGCCAGTTGTATTTTATTGAAAGCTTGTTCATCATTATCTTCCCATGGCAAAGCTGGGACAGAGATTTTTCTAAGTTCAGACAAGGGGGAAGCCAGCAGAGAAATTTGGGATTCAAGATCTACAGTATTCCATAAGACCAATGAACTCCCTTAACTGCCTTAGTTGGGGGCCAAGGGAACCCTTGGATTGTTTTTATTATTTCAGTTAAGAGGAAAATTCCCTCTGCAGTCAGATCATGTCCTATGTAATGGACCTTTACTCTAGAGCATGGATCCCCAACCCCCAGTACTGGTCCAGGGTCTGTTAGTAACCAGGCCAAACAGCAGGAGGTGAGTGGTGGGGGAGAGCCAGCAAGCCTAGCTTCACCTTTATTTAAACCTACTCCCATCACTCACATTCTCGCCTGATCTCCGCCTCCTGTCAGATCACTGGTGGCAACAGATTCTCGTAGGAGCTCGAACCCTATGGTGAACTGCGCATGCTAGAGATCTAGGTTGTGTGCTCCTTATGAGACTCTAATGCCTCATGCTGTGTCATTATCTCCCATCATCCCCATATGTGACCATCTAGTTTCAGGAAGACAAGCTCAGGGCTCCCACTGATTTTACATTGCGGTGAGTTGTATACCAATTTCATTATATAACACAATAATAGAAATAAAGTATACAATAAAGGTAATGCGTTTCAGTCATCCTGAAACCATCCCCCTTACCCAGTCTATGGAAAAATTGTCTTCCATGAAACCAGTCCCTGGTACCAAAAAGGCTGGGGACAGCAGCTCTAAAGTTTTGCCATTGAAGCCTTATGTCCCTCGTAAGCTAAAAGTGTAAAAGATGATCTACATATAGACAGAATACAATTTCTAGAGAATTGTAAGGTTGACAGGTCTTGGTATAATGTCTGAGAAAAACAAGATAGAGCTTCAGCGAACCCCTGTGGCATTGCAGTCCAAGTATATTGCTGGTTTTTTCAGGTACAAGCAGAGAACTACTGGCTTACTGGAATATTAAAAAAGGCCAAGCAAAGATCTATCACACTGTGAACCATTTAGAATCTGTAGGCACGTTAGAAAACAAAGTGTTAGGATTTGGAACAGCAGGAAATCTTGGATTGACAATTTTATTTAATGCACGTTAAGTCTTGAACAAATCTCCAACTTTGTCATATATATTTATATATGTGGGTATACATTATATATGTGTGTGTGTATATTATATATGTATATATGTGTATATATATTACATATGTATATACGTGTGTGTGTGTGTGTGTGTATATGTTTTGAGACGGAATCTCGCTCTCTGGCCAGGCTGGAGTGCAGTGGCGCAATCTCGGAACACTGCAACCTCCACCTCCTGGGTTCAAGCATTTCTCCTGCCTCAGCCTCCTGAGTAGCTGGGACTACAGGCATGCATCACCACACCCAGCTAATTTTTATATTTTTAGTAGAGACGGGGTTTCACCATGTTGGTCAGGATGGTCTCAATCTCTTGACCTCATGATCAGCCTGCCTCAGCCTCCCAAAGTACTGGGATTACAGGCGTGATAGATTTTTTATCCGCAGGATTAGAGTATTATAGAGACAAGTACAAGGAATTGTTTTATTAAATCCTCTATAATTGGGTAAAGCCTTTGGATTGCCTCTGACTCTAGGGGGCATTACGGCAATTTAGGCAATGGCTTAAAGTAATATATTTGGATTTTTATAGGCTTACCACTTTTAACCTTCCCTTTGTCAGCTGAGTAACAAGTCCACAAACATCTGGGTATTTCAGAAAGGTCTGGGTTGGTATAAGAGTGAGTTTCAATATGATCAATTCCTGCTTGTAGGAAACAGAGCAGTTCAGGTTTAGAAGGGTCAGGAAGCTCTAAAATTAACTTTCCTTCCAGAGAGAACTTTACGTGCCCTCTCAATTTATTGTCATACTGTAGGAAGGCATGCTTTTCTGAGATTGGTCCAAGCGTCATTTGGACTGGTTCACAGGGGATTCTCTGAACTTGATTGGAAACGTGACATACTTTCTTTCCTCCAAGGGACTGGCTGATTTACTAGGATGGGGTTGAAAGTGGATAAGGTATCCACCAACACTGTACACGACTCCCACTGATGCTGATCTTAGTTTCCCCATGTTTATTTAAGGTCTTATGGAGAATAACATACCAGAGACTTGATGTCCCATTGGTGTTACTGTCTTCAGAGTCAAGCCCTTGGGAACTTTTTATTTTTTTGAGATGGACTTTTGCTCTTGTTGCCCAGGCTGGAGTGCAATGGCACGATCTTGGCTCATGACAACCTCCACCCACCAGGTTCAAGTGATTCTCCTGCCTCAGCCATCCAAGTAGCTGGGATTACAGGCATGCACCACCATACCCAGCTAATTTTGTATTTTTAGCAGAGATGGGGTTTCTTCATGTTGGTTAGGCTGGTCTTGAACTCCTGACCTCAGGTGATCCGCCTGCCTTGGCCTTCCAAAGGGCTGGGATCACAGGTGTGAACCACTGTTCCCGACCAGCCTGGGAACTTCATCTAATGAGGAAATAGTCTGGCTCAAAACGGGTAGGTCCATTAGAGGACTGGTCAAGAGTGGACAATCTTTTCTTCAATGACCTGTTTACAGACACTGATTTTTTTCTAGTTCTAACGTTCTCTCAAAATGTTCAGCTATAGTGACTAATTTAGCCGTATCAGTGACTTGCCATCCAATCTTGTGTTTTTTAATCAAGGGACCAGAGTCTAGTCAGAGACTATTAATGAATAAAACCATAAAAACCATTTCAATTCCCACAGGAATTTCAAGACCAGAATGTTTAAAAAATGAGATTTCCAATCTAGCCGTGTAATCAGAAACAGACTGAACTTTTTGGACTAGTCAATCTTCTGTGGAAAGACCATGGGATAGCTTCTAGATGTTTTCCGGTTGTTGTAGTAGCATCTTTTGGGCTATCCACAGAAGTAGCTCTTAAAGGGTTGGCAATACTCTTCTGAGGCTTATGCCATCCTGCCATAGTCATCCATTAACCTGCTTCCGCAGCGGCTAATATCATGCGTATCAACTGACAGAAATCAGGAAGCCCAGGGTCATTCTAATTCTAAATTCCTCAGCAAACTGTTTTGGATTTTCCTTGGGATTTGGAAAATCTTTTGCTATGGCTCTGAGTTCAGCTTTTGACCCAGAAGTAAAAGTAGTTACAGGAGCCAGACCTCAGTGTGCTGGCTGACGGTCTAAGTAAGCAAAGCATTAGCCCAACTTCCTTTCTGTCACATCATCCAGAGTGAAAGGGTAATTGTGCAAAAGAATTAAGATGACTGAACAAATGGGTTATTGGATTCAGAATAATTAGAGGAGGATAAGCAGAGTAACAGGTCAGAGTGAAGTCACTCCCTACATATAATTCATTTTATTTTTGTTGTCAATTCATTGCTTAAGCTTTTCATCTGTCTTATTTGCCTTTAGTAAGGAATCTTTTACAGAGGCAATTTTGGAATTATGTCTTTTAGAAGCCTCTATACACAAATCAAAAATTGCTTCCCACTGTTTCTGAGGCGTTTGGGATCCCTTCTTTTCTAATGTTCCCATAAACAATTTTACCTAGATTAAAACTTCTCCACTGTAACTTTAACTCTTCTCTGATAAAGTGTAACATGAAGTTTCATGTTCATAATTTCTAAACATAAAATTTGCTAGAGTTCTAGAAAGAGGGGTCCCAGACTCCTCAGGTGTTAATTAACCCATAATACTCTATTTTTCTAAACTTCACCTACCTGAGGCTGCCAACTGGACCCAGTCTAGTTACTGTCAAACATCTAGTTCGACCTCTGGATCCAGTAAAAAATAAAATTACTCGGCTGGGTGTGGTGGTTCATGCCTGTAATCCCAGGACTTTCGGAGGCTGAGGCAGGCGGATCATAAGGTCCTTCCTGGCTAACACAGTGAAACCCTGTCTCTACTAAAAATAGAAAAAATTAGCCAGGCTTGGTGGCACGCAGCTGTAATCCCAGCAACTCGAGAGGCTAAGTCAGGAGAATCACTTGAACCCAGGAGGCAGAGGTTGCAGTGAGCCAAGATCGCGCCACTGCACTCCAGCCTGGGCAACAGAGCAAGACTCCGTCTCAAAAAAAAATAAAATAAAATAAAATTACTCAAATAAACTCAGAGACCTCAGGACACAAACTGTGGAGCCTGAAATCCGAGAGGGACTTACTCAGGACCTCCAGATGCAGCGAGAAAGCAGTGAGCACAATGGGCACCTTTTGCCTGGTTCCTTGATGCTTCCAGAGGCCACAGGGGGTCTCTTTCAAATCCCACTCTGACACCAAACTGTAAAAGACAAATCTGAGGCACAATAAAATTTTAGAGTTCATTTGAGTAAGAAGCAATTCAGGAACTGGGAACACCAGACCAAAAGAGATTTAGTGTTCCACTGACAAAAATATCAGAGACAAGTATTTATTTGGAAAATGTGGAAGTAAAATAAATTATTTGCTTGGTTTGCAATTAGAAAACTGTCTTTTATCAGGTGCCTTCTCAGAAAGTCCCTAGTCATATCCGTATGTTAGCTGGCTACTTATGAGAGGCTGGGGTTAAGCTTTGGTTCTAACATAAGCATCTATCAGAAATGACCCAAGTGAAGTTTCACTTATGATTGCAATTTCAGCAAGATTAATTATTTTTAAGGCATTTGCTTTTCTCTGCTCAAATATTTTTCAGACCTGGGCTCCACTTGAATTTTCATTTAATACTATCATGAGTACAGATTTCCTAGTCTTTTTTTCCTTTTTTAATCACTCACTGTATAAAGATTGTGTTGTCAAACTGTTTTATTTCCTATCTCAAGTGTAAACCTTTAGGTTTACTGAAAATTTGCAATATATTCTAAACAGTTGAGAAGAATAGGTAGTGTAAAGGATAAATGATGATTCATGTACCATTACCACTTCAGATCCGAACTTAAAATGAATTCTTTTTATCTCTTTGGTTCTCAAAATTATAAAACATAAAACAGCTCGTGGGTTTTGAGATGGTCATCTTAATTTACTCTTACCCTTCTGCTAAAGTTTAAGTGTGAATTAGAAAAATGTTCCAACATGTTCTAAACCTAAACACAAAATGGTTTACATGCTGCGAATGCTAATCTGAAAAATGAAGAAATACGCACAGAAATGAAAAGTAAAAATATTTGGAAATGTAAATGATACGTACATAGTCATTCACTAACACTGGAGATTCAGTATCAGGACTTCCAGCCAGAGAGCTTTCAGGAGTTTCCTGAGCAGATTTAACTTCTTTGACTCTAGGCACTAAAGGTTCCATTTCAGGTAAAGGTAACGGCAAAGGGTTAGGCTCTGCAGTTGAATCAACAGTAGCAGGTGAGTCCTTATGGGAAGCACTATTTAAAGGTTGCTCATCTTCCAAGATATTGAGGTAACAGGGTTTCACAGGAGAGTTATCTTGGTCATCTGTCATCAAAAGAAAGTCTTAATATTAATGTAATGCAAAAAATGTTAAATTTTACTATTTTACTAATAAAGACAATATGCATGAGTAAGAGCAATCAAGACACTTGAGACCAAAGAGAAAAGGCAACTACAAATTTTCCTTATCACTGGTTCCCAAATTTAGTTGGTCAAAATCACCTGGGAGCATTTTAAGAATCAAATTCCTGAAATCCACATTTCTAACAAATCAGGACTTTCAGGAACAAGGCCTACAAATGGCTTTTTAAAATCTCCCATATTTGTATCTAAAAATGCTCTTTACAGAATTTTTGTCTGTGCAGGTAAATACTTGTCACCTTTTCTTTATTGTTGTTTACAGAAACAAATTCTTATGTTTTCTACAAAGGATTTATACGGAGAAGAAAAATACACATCAGGTCCAAAGTACTTTCAAACTAAGAATTTGGTGTTTTCTGTTTTGTTTTGTTTTTTTTAGCTTTTAAGCAAATAAAAGAAATTATCTTAAAATCAAAGACTTATTTAGATTTGTTACCTTTACTAGTGGCTTCTTGTTCCAGTGGGACATTTTTGCTTTCTGCTGTCTTCTGAAAGTCATGTTGTAGGACCTAAAAGGGAAAAATGTTTTAATAGCAGGGCCTGAAATATATGGTCACTATAAAAGAGATGATTACCAGTGTGTAGTTTTTGTCCAACCCAAGAACTTCATACAAACAAATTTAAAAGTATCTTCTAAAACTATCTCAAGAAGGAGGCTTTGGTTGTGATTTCAAGATGGCTAAGTTAAAGGGTTTCCTTCTTTTCTTAAAAAAAAACACACAAAAAATAATACAGCTGAAATAAATAGACTGCATTGTTCATTTTTTTTCAGACTCTAAAAGACACTTAATGCAGCCAAAAAGGGAATGAAGGAGGAAGTGAGGACAGGAAGATGAACAAAGTTAAATGCCTTCAGCAGGGAGAGGAAACAAAAATTGAGATTCACCTCATAACTGTAAGTAACAGATCTAGAAAGGAAGGCATATGATGTTCGGGCAGGAGCTGGTGATGAAACGGTGGTGGTAGTCGTTTAAAACTAAGGAACATGTGACTACGTAGGTTCTCTCCTTCAACCTCAACAGAAAATGGCAGATTATATCTTAGAGAAATTAAACTAGTGAGCCGCAGACCTGGGGCTACTGGGAGTAGAGGTGGAGAGACAAATGAGGACACAGTAAAGTATCGGATTGGTGTAAAAGTAATTGTGGGTTTTGCCATTGAAAAAACGACCAAAACCACAATTACTTCTGCACCAACCTAAATAGAATACTGAAAACAGAATAATCTAGTGCATGCCTGTAAAACGGTGGGACCTCAGCCCCATTCCCAATCTAGCTTCAGAATACCAGCAGCCAAGCTTATATACTCCAGGCAGGACAGTGAAGGATCCTAATTTGGAGAATCTAAACCACCTCAAAGAAAAGACCAATAGATACTGACATTTACAAGTTTCTAGGAATACGCTGGCTGTCTCCCCAAATGCCCTACCTACAGTGAAGCCCAAAAGAGCCTTAACGTGCTTTTTGGTATATCATTGTTTAATATAAACAACCAAGGTTCAGCAGACATTTGAAAACAGAAGATAATGCTTCTGTGAAATAACAGGGCACTACAAAAAAGTAATAAAAAAACTGTTTAGAAGTTAAAAATATGACAGCTGAAATAAAAATAATTTCATGCAAGTATTAAAATCTCTCAAGGTAAAACCAAAAGATAACGAAAAGAGGAGAAAATTAAAAGATTAATCCATGAGTACTAATAATATCTGATAATATTAAGTACAGAAGGAGAGAAAATGGTGTGGCAGTAATAAACAGAATTTAAAAATTTACCAAGTTGAAAACAATCACTGAGTATCCACTGCAAATAATGAAAAAATACCCCAACAAGGCACATCACAGTAAAATGTCAAACTCCAGAGGAAAAGATCTAGACTAGGGAGGAAAATAACATAAAAAAGTACCCCTTCATCCATAGAATGTATGTTCCAAAACTGTGGATAGTACCAAACCCCATTTATACTGTTTTTCCCCATAAATACTTATCTATGATAAAGTTTAATTTATAAATTGAGCACAGTGAGAGATTAACAATAACTAATAATAAAACAGAACAATTCTCTTGTGCTTTGGGGCCATTAATAAGGGCTGTTTGAACACTGTGATACTGCAAATCTATCTGCTTACCCTAGATGGCTATTAAGTGATTAACAAGCAGGTAGTGTACACAGTGTAGACATGTTGGATAATGGAATGACTCACAACTCAAATAGGAAGGAGTGGGCTGGTGTGAGATTTAATCACACCACTAAAAACAGTGTATAATTTAAAATGTATAAACTATTGGATGGGTGTGGTGGCTCACGTCTGTAATCCCAGAATTTTGGGGGGAGGCTGAGGTGGGAGGATCGCTTGAGCTCAGGAGTTTGAGGATATGAGCAGTGAGCTACAATTACACCACTGCACTCTAGCCCAGAAGACTGAGCAAGACCCTGTCTCTGAAAAACAATTATAAAAAAACCCCTGGTATTTCAGATTTTAATAAGCATATTAATCAGGCTTCCATTCATGAAAGCTGAAAATTTATTTTATTTATTTATTTATATTTGAGACGGAGTCTTGCTCTGCCGCCCAGGCTGGGGTGCAGTGGCCGGATCTCAGCTCACTGCAAGCTCCGCCTCCCAGGTTCACGCCATTCTCCTGCCTCAGCCTCCCGAGTAGCTGGGACTACAGGCGCCCGCCACCTCGCCCGGCTAATTTTTTTGTATTTTTTAGTAGAGACGGGGTTTCACTGTGCTAGCCAGGATGGTCTCGATCTCCTGACCTCGTGATCCGCCCGTCTCGGCCTCCCAAAGTGCTGGGATTACAGGCGTGAGCCACCGCGCCCAGCCAAAAGCTGAAAATTTAGAAGGATCTACTTTGAGTAGTTAAAATAAGGCTAATGAGAATACCTGTTCATCATGTTCATTTTCTTCGGTAGCTTCAGTGTTAGCCTGAAGGGAAGTCTGGACATCCACGGGGCCTTCTTCAAATTCTTCCATTTCTTCCTCCTCATTTTCATCTTCTCCACTTCCATAATTAGTTAAAGCCTGAGTTTCAGCTTTAGACAAATCTAAGTTGATTAACACACAATTTTTAGTAGATTTCAGCACATAATCTTAACAACGGCTACCATTTATTGCATTCCTGCCTGGCACAGATGCTTTATATACAGTATCTGAAATCTTCAAACAGTATGTATTAGAAAACGTACAGTGCAGAAAGGCCGGATAATTCAGGGTTACAGTGAAATTCAAAATCAGAGTTCTTTGACACTTAATTCTATACTTGTTATACTCCACCAAACTGTTCCAATAAATGACCTACAAAAAACTAAAATATAAAGATAGTACAGAGCCTTTAAACTTACTAATAGACACTGGACATCCTTCACTTTCTTCATCTTCCTCTTGATCAGAAATATCAGATCTTATATTTTTGGGACCATCATACACCTCAGATGTTTGAGTCTGCTTAACTGTTTCAGTTTCATCCTTGTCCTAGACACAAATATATTTGAGTAATTAATTCCTTAAAGTACATGTGTAAAAGCTATATAGTAAGTCTATCATATTAATAATGATCATTATCTAATAAAAAACACAAAGAACCATTTTTAATAGTCTAGTTTTATTTTTAAAACAAAAAAATCTGTCAGAAAAAAGGTCATTTGATGATACAGTCTGCTTTCAAACATTAAGGTAAAAGCTGTTAAAATACTTTTATATTGTTTCAAAAGCATTATTTTTAGGCTTTTTTTTTTTCCTTTTTGAGGCAGAGTCTTACTCTGTTGCCAAGGCTGGAATGCAGTGGCATGATCTCAGCTCAATACCACGTCCACCTCCCAGGTTCAAGTAATTCTCCTGCCTCAGCCTCCTGAGTAGCTGGTACTACAGGTGCGCACCACTACATCTGGCTAATTTTTGTATTTTTAGTAAGGACGGGGTTTCACCATGTTGGCCAGGCTGGTCTGGAACTCCTGACCTCATGATCCACCCGCCTTGGCCTCCCAAAGTGCTGGGATTACAGGCTTCAGACACTGCCCGGCCATATTTTTAGGCAAAAATTAATTAGCACATACTTTGTCTTCATCATCAATCTCTCCAGCAGGTGAGCCATGATCTTCAAGAATCCTTTTGGCCTTTAAAACAAACCAATTACACAGAATTTAGCAATATACTTAGACACATACTTACATATTTAGCAGTTCTCATGTCTAGTACTGGGATTATAGACCTGAGCCTATCCTGTATTACTTTCTAATCATTTATTACAGTATCATGCTTTTAAGCTCTTAGCAATGTCTAAAATTTATTTATATCCAGAAAATAAATATCATGAAAAGTGTGAAATGGATAGCTTGATTTCGTCTACTTTAGATTGTAAGGAAAAAGAGCCATCTCTTTCTATTTGGGTCTTGGCTTATTTCCTTCTCATAAAAGAGGGTCAGGAAAAGGCTTCCTGGTATGCCTCAAGTTGAGGCAGAATAGTCATCCAATCTCACGTGATCAAAATTAATTTGACAAGGTAGAACAAACTACAGGGATGTAAAACCAAAGCCCTAACTAATAAGCATTTGTGTTAACTGGGAGTGACCTCTGGGTAATGCATATTCTCCAAGAATCTACAGGGATTGATAACAACCATGGCAGGCAGCTGGGTCTGTTCCAGGACCAGATCCCAGTCCTCCTCTCCTCTTTTGAGACCTGAATACAGGACAGTAATGTGAACTAGTTATCTGACAATTATCTGACAATGTACATTTAACATCAATTTCTGTCTGCATTCCTGATCTTGAGCAACTGCTGTTACTCCTCAAATTCCATAAGTGACTAGCATATGTAATGACTTATAATGTGATTAACTGGTATTACAAAAAACAACTACTTTTGCTGAGGTAAAATGTGATTTCAGTTAATAATAATGATTAAGAACTGTATTTATGTGCCAATTATCCTAAAATCAAAATGAATGTGATCTACCTCTTTGGCGTAAGACTGTATCACTCCAGCTGCTTCTATTTTCCTTTTGCATCTCTGTTTAACAGTTATACTATTATTATCCAAATCTTGCATAAGCTTAAAGAAAGCCAATTCATTGAACAACACTTCAGATATCTCTACAAGAAGATCTTCTCCACAGTCTTTCAGTTTTCTGCCAGCAAATTTTGCCAGTGAATCCTATTTAAACATAAACCAAATAATTTAAAGAGAGTGAACTTCAATTACTTTTAAGTACTGAAAAACTTAAAACTAATGTTTATGATTACTAAGGAAAGATAGGTTAGTATTAGTAAAGAATACTGCTATATTACTAAGTAGGAATGTTGTTAGTCCTGCTTAAAGAGTATATACAAGGGAAGGACATATATGGTCATCTATATTTAGTCACTATTTGATGTAACTGCTGGGCACAAATGTATTCAGACAGGGATTTCTGATACCAGAAAGCTCCCTGACAGTACAGGAGATACTATTTATTGCTGTAGTATATGTGTAAGTGCTATAAAAGGAAAAGACAAAATCTTCCACCTCTAAATGTACCATTAGTATACTTTTAAAGATTCCTTCTTTACTTAAGCCAACCATTCTAATTTAAATTTTTCTTCAAAAGTAAACTTAAGTTCTATTCAAGTTGATATACAGGATCATGTAAAAGAAAACAGGATTTCAAGACCCTCTACATTTATATTATATCAAGGAGGAAATTAAGCCCTGGCAACTTGAACGTTGGTGATTTCTCCTTAGACAATACATTAACTCTCTTCCTCATTGTTCTTGTTCTGTAAATGACTAGGAGACATCAGAGACCAGACCTCCTGCCTTCTAACCACTGATCTTTGTTACCGATTAACTGCCTCCTTTACTATGCATTAAGCCTTATATAGAAAGATGATGAAATTCTGTTAAGCTTCCCTAAACTCTCTCCAGATAAATTAGCAGTCCCCAACCTTTCTGGCACCAGGACCTGGTTTCACGGAAGACAATGTTTCCCTCAAACATAGGTTGGGGGAAGGTTTCAGAATGATTCAAGCACATTACATTGATTATGCCCTTTATTACACTGTAACATATAGTGAAATAACTATACAACTCACCATAATGTAGAATCAGTGGGAGCCCTGAGCTTATTTTCCTGCAACTAGATGATCTCATTTGGGGGTGATGGGAGACAGTGACAGGTCAGGAATTAGATTCTCATAAGGAGCATGTAACCTAGATCCCTCACACGTGCAGTTCACAGAAGGGTTCACTCTCCTATGAGAATCTAATATGCTGCTGCTGATCTTACAGGAGGTGGAGCTCAGGCAGTAATGAGAGCCATGAGGAGCAACTGTAAATACAGACGAAGCTTTGCTCACTCGCCTGCTGCTCACCAGCCTGGGGGTTGGGGACCCCTGATATAATGATCCCAAACTGCTGATGTCTATTCTTTGGAATCTGTGCTTCCCAGGCAGCTATCCCTCACACATTGCGCTTGAATCAACTCTCTTTAAGTAGATTCTGACCCTTTTGATTATTTTAGGTTGAGAATCTTCAAATAAGTATACTCTAAACATTTTTAGTAAAACCACTCCTCTTTTTCTTTCTAAAAATATGGACTACACTATTTAGCAAACAGGCAAACAACTATGATGTTCAATGCCTAACCCTCTCTCCCACCAAAAGACTATCTTATCTAGTACAATTATGGTAAAAACGTACATATGCTGGGTGCTCTGTGGGAAAAAAAATCCTGAACGGGTTTCAGAAGGAAAAATGTAGAAGACAGTAATTTAAGCTCTAGCTCATAAAAATTTTTCAACACTCTGGGCAATATTTAATATAAATTTACTTTTATTCTTCATGTATGTCCTCTTGTGGAAAAATCAAGAATGGGATAAAAGAAAAGCAGTCAAACCTCAGACTGAGAAAAAAAGTCTTATTTCCAAATTAATGCTTTGGGATCTACCCACAATTATCATAGAAGGCAAAACTGAGGAAGGGCTACATGGATCTTAATAAAAAATATTTAAATGATTATTTATCTTTTAGTGTTATTCTAAAATGGAGGTTCCTACAATGCACAACACCACTGATGTCTTATAGTCCTTATAAATTATCTATTAGTACTAATTACTAATTAGTACTAATGGGGCCAGGACAATTTATACTTTAGTCTTAATACTAACAAAATGGAAAATTACAGCGATATAAATTTGCATCAAGCCCAAGGAAAAAGTTAATACCGATTATCTAAAACCAGTTTAAACAAAGAAATAAGAAACAAGGCAAAGTTTCATTAGAAAATTTTGTAATAAAGATGAAAAGAAAAATGTGTCACCTAATGTAGAGTAAAAATACGTATCACTGAACTGTCTCAATGGGAAAATACTCGGGTAAACATAAAGATGTTTGTCATAAGGAATAAACAAGGTAATTTTATTAACACTAACATGGGATTTCTCAACCTTGGCCCTACTGACATTTAGGACCAGATAATACTTTGTTGTGGGGGACTGTCCCATGTACTGTCAAATGTTTATCAAGATTCTTCCTGGTCTCCACCCATTAGTTGCCAGTACCTGGCCTCCTCTCAGCCCTCCCTACCTTCTTCACACCACTTGCTCTGATAAACAAAATGTCTGCAGACACTGCTAAATGTCTCCCAGTAGGCAAATTCTCCCCCAGTTACTGACTTACTATAATTTAAGCGTACTGATACAGCCTAAAAAGTCTCTACAACCAGCTGGTCTCTGGCTTCCGAAATTTCCCAGATTAGTCAAATTACTTTACCAATTATTTTAGAAACAGTCACAGAATACTTTCTAAACATTTCAAACTAAAAACGTTTTCATTGAGAAGATAAACCAAACCAATAAAAGCTTGTAAGAGATATGCCTTAGACATGACCAAATTAAATGAAGATACTAACAGGGCCTAATAATACAATATTATTTTAACCAAGTGACAACCTAAAAAGTATTAAAACATCATCCCAAATGGATGCTAGATTGGATGTCCACCTGAATAAATTGTACAATGCAAGAAAAGGCCTCACTGTGCCCCCGCCCCCCACAAAAACCTTACCACATAGTACATATTGGTAAATCATACAAGTATAAACTCTTACCTGTAATATACTTCCAAGTTGTTTATGAAAGAACTTTACAAACTCTTTGCTCTCATCATTTTGCTGGGTAAGGGTCAAAACCATGCGCCTTACTGAAGTTAAAAGTTGCGAGGAGCATACTTCATCCATGTGCTCCTGAGAAAAATCCTAGTTGGTTAGAATATAAACTTACCTATTGTTTAAAAAAAGAAAATCAATCCACATAATATAAAATGTTAATTTTTAATTTTCTTGCACAGATGCTCCTCAATTTTCAGATACCCGTTTAGAAATATTCATAAGAAAAGCCAAACTCCTACTTTATTCATACACATTGAGAGGTTTGGCAATTTTGACCCATGAAAGCAGATGATAAGCCAGTAAAAGAACTGGCTGATCCAGTACTTTTCACCACTTCCTTTCTGTACCTTTCTATACCTTAAGGAGAACTATTCATGCTACAGCTTCCATTTTGCCAATCTTTCTGTTTTCAGTTAATTTCAAATACTCTTACAAGCATACTCACCTTCTACCCAATTCCCTATTATTTTCTAACTCAGGGTTTCTCAACCTTCGCATTATTGACATCCTGTGCATTGCAGGATATTTAGCATCATCCTGGCCTCTACCCACTAGATGCCAGTAACACCTCCTCCCTACACCACCTCAACAACTAAAAGTATCTTTCGACATTCTGGAATGTCTTGAGGGTTAACATCACCCCCTTGCTACTTTCTTAACAAATCGCTTCAGTCAAGCGTCTCTTCTTAAACTTTCTTAAGAAACAGGTGTGAGCTACAAAATAATATGAATCACGGTTAAGTTTCTGAGGTCAACCCCATAAATCATCCATATCAAGTAATCTCAAGGTTCTAATCCTTCTTCTTCTTGTAAATCCATTTAAGCAAATCCTATAATCTTTTTCAGTTCAGTTTTCTCCCCACCCCATAAAATTTACAAAATAAGGGAGCCAAACTAGATGATGTTCAAGGTCCCTTCTCAGACTTAAGCTCATTTAAAATAATGTATGTGTCAAGACAGGTGACTAAAAAAAAAACAAACTCTGCCTGTCTTCAGAGAGTCAAATACTAATGCAGGAGTCAGATATGTACATAAATAATCACAATAAGCTCTGTGCTGTCTGGTAGATAACACTTTTTTAACTGCAGGGATTCTCATTTATCACAAAATACAGTGGCTCACAGAAGACATTACTTACTGAACAATTAAAAAAATATATATATATATATTTTTTGAGACGGAGTCTTGCTCTGTCGCCCAGGCTGGAGTGCAGTGGCGCGATCTCGGCTCACTGCAAGCTCCGCCTCCCGGGTTCACGCCATTCTCCTGCCTCAGCCTCCTGAATAGCTGGGACTACAGGCACCCGCCACCTCGCCCGGCTAGTTTTTTCGTATTTTTTATTAGAGACGGGGTTGCACTGTGTTTGCCAGGATGGTCTCGATCTCCTGACCTCGTGATCCGGTCGTCTCGGCCTCCCAAAGTGCTGGGATTACAGGCTTGAGCCACCGCGCCCGGCCATAAATATTTTTTAAAAGCACCCACCAGGTGCTCTAAGGAGCTATAGGAGCATATTGGAGACAACAACAAATATTTTTGAAGAAATATTTCAGTCAGGCAGAAAAGAGTTAAAGTATTTTACATCTTGGATAGATAAGACAACTTGTACAAACGGCTAATATGTGAAAAAGTAAAAGTAGATACGGGAAATGCTGAATAATGTGAAGTGAATGTACCTAGATGGAGAGTAGCTAGGACGGGAAAGCACACCAGATCCAGCGGTGAAGCCGCTTGAAGACTAAGGAGTTTGGGTAGGATATGGCTTAGTAAAAATGCACTTCATGCCTACTTCATGCCTATTAAGACAGGTAGTCTAAGCAAAAGGTAAGAACATGAATTTAGGTTATGCTACTGGAAAGAAGAAAGTGAAGTGAAACTGATGACCCAAAGGAGAAGAACACATTTTTGACTCACTAGTAATGGCATAAAGAGAGTCAAGAAGTCTAACTCAGGTGACTGGGTATAATGCTGCCTGGGCATAATTAACAAAAAAAGTTCTACAGTCCTACAAAAAAACTCAAGATTTGAAGTGAAATGAGACATCATAAATAGTTAAAATCAGATTATTAGTTCTACTCTGTTTACTTGCCTCAGAAACTTTTTGAAATGCTAAATTATTTATTATTTCATTTCCTCATGAAACGAAATCACTTAAATCAGGGCTATACAGGTAAAGTGAGGAGGAACAATTTAGATTTTAAACAAGGTAACAAGATAAGTCTTGTGTTTTAGGTAACTCTAGAAATGCCAGTAGCGCTTAAAAGGTCAAGTGGAAAACCTATTAAAGAGTGTCACTAGCCAATTTAGCCAGCTAAAATACCATTAATTTCCTAACATCTTAGACATTTAAGAAAAATCACTTTAAAAAAAATGTAATGCTTTTAAATTCAAGACTTTTTAAACATTTCAGAAAATCAAGGTGATTTCTATTTTGCTCAAGTATTAAATATTTTATTATATGACAGTTTCTGAGCAGATAATATGTAACTTACATAATTTTTCCATCAAATCAGACACAAAATAGTAAAAACAATCAATTTCCTAATTGAAGGCTACACTCCCTAAGCATAAAGATAAATCATTCAGTTTTTTTTAACCCTTATAAAATAACTGTATATATCAAATACATATTACTACAATTATACCTAATTTAGTTTTTAAAAGACATGTTTACAAGTATTTATTGTACTATTAATGCTAAAATTTTGGCCTAAGATGAAAGCAAGCAACAACCGAGAAAATTTAAATCAATTCACTTGAGGCAATGGTTTCAAACTCTGAGATAAAAATCTATTTTAAAAATCTACATTCTTAAAATGTATAAGTATATTCTTTTATGGAAGGTAAATATATACATAGATTTATAAGTAACAGGAAATAAATTCACAGAACAGTTGGTAAAACTGATATATTTATGCCTTATCCCTCAAATTCTTTTTATCCAGTATCTTAAGTACTTCTTGGCTGTAGGTACTATGAGATACTATTCTAGGGAGGAGATACAAGTAATTATGATCCTTTGTCATAAGCGCTATAATGAAGGCATGAACCCAGTATCTCAGGAAGAGTGAAGAGAGGAAGGAATTCTGCCTGTAAACACATGCAACAACATTTGCACTGGCTCCTGAAAAACAGGAGAAACTGACAGAGGAAGAGGAGAAGGTCATTCTCCGTAAAAGACGCAATGTGGGTGATGTGCCTTTTTCAATCATGTCAAGTAGGACACAAGGTTTAAGAGACCAGACCATGCTGTAAAAGGTTTTGTGAGTGATACTGAACCTGGTCTTTATCCTATGGGTCAGCTGTTTTCACACTTACAGAGTCTAAAGAGCTCAACTACAGTTGAGGGTTGAAGAGTCCAGTCATTTATTAATTCATTAATGTTTACTGAGTGTCTACGATGTGCAGTTATTATTTTCGGACAGTGACCAAAAGAGATCAACATCTCAGACGTCATGGATCTTGTATTTTAGTATGGAGAGGCAGATAAATATTACATAGGTGAAAGGTGGCATGCAAGCATTATGAAGGTAAAGGAAAGCAGGTAAAGGATAAGGGAGAGGTTTACTCAGCAACAGTTAACATTTGACCAAACACTTGAGGAGTTCAAGAGAACAAGCCATGCAGGTAGGTATCTGAAGGAAGAGCATTCCAGGTAGAGGTATTAGCAAGTGCCAAGGCCTTAGAAGTGCTAACAACTCTACTAGGAGGGTTGAAAGGTTAGAAGCAGCAGCAAAAGGACAGTAAGGCCATTTAGGAACTATTGCAATTGCCCAGAACAAGGCTAAGTGTTTCTGTTTTTAGATGGAATAATCTGGACACTATCAGCTGACTTTTTCCTCTGTTGTAAAGTCAGATACTCTGCTGTATCTTCAGAGAAAGCAGTTTGTACATGTGCTTTCTCAAAGATCTCTCTTCTCTCAAAACATTTCAAAAAAAGCAATTACTTCTGCTGAGGGAAGAAATATAAGCACACTGAAAGCAATTCTCTGTGGTACATGTCTTACCAAGAGAAGTATGAGTACGTTATACGAAACTAGCCCAGTGACAATGTATTTTGTAGTTTACCATATCTGGATGAAAAGATAACAATTACTTTTCACTTCTAATTGTTAAAATTTCCATTTTAAATTAGAATGTAATGAGTGCCATCTCAGAAGTCCTGTCTTCCTATTCCATTTGTTGCACGTCTCCATCTGCCCTGATCAATGTTATTAAATAAAATTAACAGTACTGCTTACCAGTCTGACACTTTCAATGTTGATGGAAATATAAACTGGTTAGTTTCTCTGAAGGACAATTTAGCATGTCTCAAAAGCTTTAAAAATGTTTATGACCTTTGAACTAAAAATTTTGTGTCTAAAAATTGTTTCTAAAGAAACAAAAGTAAACAGATTGTCCTCAATCATTGAAGAAGTGTTTATAATAGTGGAAAAGAAACCAGAATAAACACAAATATTTAACAATAGGGACTGAAAAATTAATTAATAGAAAATTGTATTCTATGACTACTTGACCTCATAGCAGCCATCAACATAACTCCTTGCAGTCCTTCTTGGTCAACTCTGGCTCTGCTTTTGTACAACTTACAAATGCTGAATCACCTGGTCCCACATCCCAGTTGAAGGCCTCTGTCTATTCTCACATCAAATGACCTGGCTTTAGGCAGCAGCTACATGCTATGAACTACCTTATGTCTATCTCCAGCTGTGCCTGGAATTCGCTGAGTAACCAAATGACTACTTGACTGCTCTCTGGTTGTCTAAAAGTTCAATTTTAAAGTCCAAAATAAAACTCTCGGCTGGCACGGTGGCTCGAGCCTATAATCCCAGCACTTTGGGAGGCCCAGGCGGGTGCATCACTTGAGGTCACAAGTTCAAGGCCAGCATGGTCAACATAGGGAAACACCATCTCTACTAAAAATACAAAAATAAGCCGGGCATGGTGGCACGCACCTGTAGTCCCAGCTACTTGGGAGGCTGAGGCAGGAGAATCACTTAAACCAAGGAGGCAGAGGTTACAGTAAGCCGAGGTCGCGCCACTGCATTCCAGCCTGGGTAACAGAGTGACCCTCTGTTTCAAACCACCGC